TATTCGGAGTTCATCCTACTGAGCTTTGTCCCACATAAAAAAAACTTAGACGGCCTCATTTTGTATTATTCTACATTTGTCCTAAAAATATTTTTGATCAATTTATTCTAGGTTTGTCCCGAAGCTTACACTTATTTTACACGAGCTATACCCCGTAGTGCCCACGGTTTTTAGGGATGTTCTCCCGTAGTAAAACGTAGCCTATGTGTTAATCCAGGGTGTCACCTAACTCCTTACTAAATTTTATTAAAATCGCTCCAGCTGTTTAGACGTGAAGAAGTAACCAACATACACACTCACACACTCACAAACTTTCGCCTTTATAATATTAGTGCGATTGATCCATTAAACCTGAATAATATTATATTGTGTCTTCAAGATAATCCTTCTAAATATTAGCTGGAGTTATAGATCAAAAATTTAACTTTAATTTACCATTATGAACAAATTGAAACGTAAGTATTGCGAGAAAAAATACACATTATGTGTGTATCCTAAATCCGTAAAACTCATGGCCACGACTGAAAGGGTGCATTACTATTTTGGTCGAAAACCTTTTTTGTTTCATCCACGCTCAAAAACCGGCTATACAATATACTTTATAGAGATACATATTGTATCGAGATCATGTTTTTAAAAGTCCCACTTTCGACCCACGGCTGGGCTCGCATAACCCCGCTTCTAAAACTGACGAAAGTTTTAGGCCCTTCACACACATCACTGATCACTAATTCGGGTGGCTTGCGTTGAAAAGGGTATAAGTAGAAAACAAAAAATATATATATAAACGGATTTTTTATTTTGCTCGCTCGCGTAGATAAAGTTTTTTTATGTTTATTATAAATATTTTAATTTAGTGAGGTAAATGGTTAGTAAAGTGAAACTTTTATTACTTAGCCGACATCGCACCATTTTTTTTAAGCACATATTTAGCATGTATCAATTCTTTTAATAAATCAGACCTTTTTAATAAGTATTGGTGGTTCAGTGGCTGTCAGTTCGTCGAGCAAGGACTTTGTTAATAATAATAATAAAAGTTTCACTTGCATCGGGGTTTTTTAAGGTGATCGATATCATAAAAGACTTCTTATCGAGTAAAATTAAAAACCGTTTAAAAATTTCATACTCAAGCTAATTTATCTTGAAAAACCAAATTTAACCGAAGAACAGACTAAAGCTGACACTATGAACAAATAGAAAAAATAGAGTGATCTGATAAAAATACAAAGCCAATTAGCTATACAAATTGAATACACAAAAACACAACTGGCAGCTGCGCGCGTCCTCGCGTAATAATGCGAAGTAACGTACAATTAATCCACCGATTCCTCAAATAGTGACATCTGAGCAAATATGAGGCTTGATAAAAAGCTTGCCTCAAACATCGTATTTTTTTAAAAACACGTGCCCTTTTTAAAAACCGATTCCGGAAATATGTTCCAAGATATTTTATTAAAGTTAGTTTACCCCAATTTCTGATAAGTCGATTGTTGCTTATGATATTGCTTTACGATACGAAAACGTCACATACACAAATTTAGAAGAAGATTGACTCTGATTTTGAGATAAAATATCTTAATAACTTTCTGTGTTTTAGTATAAAAAAAAACCTAGAATACCATAATGACAAAAAAGCAAGCAAATGTGAATGTAAATTTGTGGGTTCAGACAAAAAAAAATATTTTGAAAATGATTAACCAACCAGGTTTTTATTACCGGGCGCATGATACTGTGTCGTAAGTAGGTGGTATAGGTATATACATAAATACTCTTTAATCTTTTTAGAGCAGCAATCTGATTGGCTAGTGCTGTCAGGAGCAGAGTTCGCATTTTAAATACAGCCGTCTGGTTCGCATTCGAATTCCCATTTAAAAATGGAACGGATCTTTTTTAATCTCTTATCAGATTAGGAAAGGATTTATTATATAATTAGTTTTTGTCAATCGTTTATTTGGGTGGACCTCGTTATTTTATCTATTCAAATGACCGTTTCATTTGAGAACTTGTTTTTTTTTTCGCCGTAATGCTGATTAAGTTGTTTAGTTAGAGGACCTCTTTCGTTCCTAATACATTTAATGTAGTGATAAATTAATAATATTTTTTAATCTCTTTATTTTCGTGTACCGGTTTGTTTTATGATATTTCTATTTTAAGCATTTAACTGCTGGATGTTTTAATGTAACAAAAAGTACTAGAAATAATTCCAGTTAGTCCAGGTTTCAGACGGGATGTGTGTTTTATTTTGTCATAACTCTACTTTTTCGATATACGAGTACTATTATGATAGGATTCGTGCTCCTCGTTTATTTTTACCCGCCCGCCCTGTCGGAGTACATTATCTTCCATTAGGCGAACAAGGGATTAAATCAGATTCACCATACCACACGTTGAGTAAGGTTAAACATAGACCTCGTGAAACAATACCTACATTTTACCTTGCGAGCTATTTGTTTCGTTTGTTCAAAGTCTTAATTATTTTGAACTCGCAAATTTACCTGTCAAAATCAAAATGTTCAATGTTAATCATACTGCCAATAACCCCGCTTATGTGGCATATGCCTCTTTTATGAGTATTTAGAAACACCTTATGGGTTTGATGGGGAGGATGAATCATTTCATACCATGGTAAGTCAAGTGGGGGCAGTGTAACAAGGGGCACACTGTAACATAAAAAAATATCTCTATATTGACGACTGATGATAGCTGCTTAAGATGCCGGCTTATGAAACTAATAAAATACGTCAAGACAGACAATGGACAAATCGAGAAAAGGTAGAGATATTCCTTGGATTGCTCTATGCCACTTGTTACAATGTGACCCTTGTTACAGTGTGCTCCTTGTTACACTCTGCTCCTTGTTACACTGTCCCCCACTCGACTCTAAGTTTTGGCAGCTGTGCTTAGTGCTTCGAATGAAGCCAAACAAAAGCTCCTCATAACGGATACGGCGTAACGGATGCCTTCAAAGCCCAGAAGAGATTAAGAAACGACAATAATTTTTGTCGCACATCAGATGACTAGCCTTTGTTGAAGTGACTTAACTTTATGAAATTGTGAGCAATGTGTGATGTGACATTAAACTTAATTTTGAGTTTTAAAGAAAGCATGAAATAATATGAAAAATATCCTTAATATTATTTATCCTCAATTTAAAATCGGCTTTCCGACTTCCCGGGTTCGATTCTGGGTCGGGTAAAATAATGAAATTCTAAAACTAGATTCCTAAAGTCTCAAACATGGGCATATTCCATGAAAAAGTGTTTGGTCTTATAAGTTAATCGACTTATCTTATCAGATTTTTTTATTTAAAAATTACATAGGTACCAACATATTTATACTACTTATATAATGTGGTTTAAAACTACCTAGCGTATACCAAACAGATAATAAACTTAAAACACTGGAAAGACATTGAATCTCGATCACGCACAAACCCGATTTCGTACAAAACACCAACACTACGAGTGAAACCCGTCATGTATGTGGAAAAATGTAATTTCCCCGTTGCCATGGCAACACGAAAACAGATATAATAATATTCTAGAGGCGGCTCACATAACTACAACAATGTTAGAATCAGCACGCCGTTCGCAGTGTCAAAATAGGCATACACGGGAGTTTTATATTTGTGTGAGTTCGGTTTTTTACGCATGCGTGGGCTGCCTAAAGTACATAGATATTGGGGTTTTTAGGTTCCCCCAAGGGTCGGGAGGGGCGGGGTTCCCTAATCTGTGTCCCTTTGAGGCTCCCGATTGGAATTTAGTAATCATATTAGATTTTAAATTACACGTGTTTTGAACTTAAAGAGCGGGGTCGGGCGCCAATTTATTGCGTATTAGATAGTTGTTTCCTGCACTAGGAGGATGTACGTACCTATTTTGATGGAACATGCGAAATTGTGTATTCCTGAGTTAAACTTGTTTGGCACATTGTGACCGTTCATTACTGTGTCAGAGCGTACGAATTGCACGAATTAAAATTGTCATGATTGTTTAGTTATATTAATTAACAAAACAAAAAAAAAATATCGATACTCGGACTACCCTGTCAAAAGTTATGCGTTATGGTCATCTATACTAATATTATAAAGAGGAAAGGTTTGTATGTAAGTATGTTTGTAAAGAATTGGTTCAAAAAGTACTGGACCGATTTTAAAAATTCTTTTACCATGAATGCTACGTTATCACTGATTAATATAGGCTATAGTGTATTTTCAAAAAAGTTAGGGTTCCGTATGAAAACTTCGATAATGTAACCCAACGTGTGTAAAAAATACCAAAAAATAGCCTTATATCGCGTACGCTTCGGAAGTCATTGACAATAGAGCAAAGTGGTGTACTAAAGTTTTTAGAGAATACCAATATCTACAAGAGTGTCCGCGATACCATATGTCTAACTATTACAGTTATGTCACAACTAGAGGTCCCCTGCGGTTTCACCCGCGTTAATAGTGAGTCAAACTTAAAATATAGACATAGGTTGTCGTGGGCTTTTTTACAGAATTTTTAAATGGAAAGAATTCCGTGATACGTGATTATTGTGTAACTTTAACCGTTTACCCAGCGCACGCAACGGAATCTCACAAATGGAAAATTGAAACCCGTTTCTGCAACATTTTTCATCGATGCTCTGCTGCTACTGGTTAATACCCTGGTAATATATAGCCTATAGCCTTCCTCGATAAATGCATTGTCCGATACAAAAATAATTATTCAAAGCAGAGCAATGTTGCATTCGGTACGGGAACGGGTCCTAAACTACGCAACGAATTTTTAACTTGGAATTATAATTATTATGAAGAAGGTCATTGTGTATAATACAAACTCTACACCGAAGCAAAGCGAGGGCGGGCCACTAGTGCATAATAAAAACATAGACTTGAAAATCTCCTCCGTTGTTTTTTCGTGGGTTAAAAACGGAATTCTGCGTTACCAGATCCCAGAATAATATTAGTCTTTTCCCAAGCAGCTTGATTTCACAATAAACAATATCTCACTCAGGTGTCTTCAATCAATCGGGTGCTACGTAACCTCGCGTCGCAGAAGGAACAAGCGGCGTCGGCGCAGAACGACAGCGTTTACGAGAAGCTGAGGATGTTCAACGGACAAGCGGCCACGGGTTGGTGGTACCCTGGGCTGCCTACCGCACCAGCGGCGCCTGCCATCCCCGCGCCGCTGCCACCACAACTGAATAGGACGAGTAGCGAGGAACACAAAAGAGGTTGGTTGCCTACTGAACAAATGACAGTATATTTAAGTGGCTGGCTGGTTCATGTCAAGTATTACTGACAAATTGTCAAATATGTCGACTTAAAAAAAACCCTTGTTTCACAACATAGTGGTCGTTGCAGTAAGATACAGACAATGTTAAATATGACAATGAAATACTTAAGTGGAAGCGCTGTGTAAGATTTGCGTTACATTTGCAGTGTTTTCGTTGTTGGTTACAAAATGGCTCTCTGCGAAATCTTAAAATGACGAGTTCTTAAACAGGAGAATTTATAAATAAAAAACTAATAAATTTATCCCTTAATATCGCTGTTTTAGCGTTCAAAAAAAGTTTGATATAATAATCATCCCACAACAAATCGTCGGCTTTCATATTATGTCAGTGACATAATGTCGACTTGGTAAAATAGAACACTGGTCTGCCTACTGCGCCGGAAGCACCAGCCATGCTTGCGCCGCTGCCACTGCAACTGAATACGACGAGTTACATAAAAGAATTTGGTTACCTATTCAAAAAATAACAGTGTAGTTAAGCTGGCAATGGACTGGTGGTATTCGGCAAACGTCGGCAGAAAGGGACGTAGTGAGATTGCTTATCTAAAGAAATTTTTTGACGACCTCCGTGGCCGGAGTGGTTTGTACGCCGGGTTTCAAGGTGTCGCCTACTCGAGAGGTCTCGGATTCGAATCCCGGTAGGGGCCGGTGTTTGTGTGATGAATACGATCATTTGTATTCCAGTCATGGATGTTTAATATGTATTTCTATAAAAATATACTTATATATGTATCAGTATATGTATTCTAACCGTTACCCTAGTATCCTATAACACAAGCCTACACAGTGCTAACTTTGGGGGTAGGCTAATTGGTGTGAGTGTTAGAAATATTCATTTATTATGAATTCTAGAAGCAACTCAACATGACGAAAAGCGTGGAAAATATATAAGAGGTTGGTCGTTGAGAAAAGTTTTGCGAACGTACTTTTTTATTGAAGGGTTTACGAAGTCTGTACAGTTAAGTTTGCTTCGGTTCGAGAGTGTTTTAGAATTTACACAGGCAATGTTTTTAAGGTTTCGTTAAGTTGAAAATATGACCAAATTTTGTTTAGTAGTTAATTATATTATTTTATTAAATAGGTAGGGATAATGTTTTTGTTAGGTCAAAATTTAGAAAAATGGTACCTTCATAGGGTAGTTTGTAATCATAACTAAAGTACTTTATGGGTTCAGCATATTTACATTTTTTTTAAGATCATTCAAACATGTTCCATGATATATAAGTTAACATATTATGTGCCTTATTTATTTTATGTTATATGGGTGGCAAACAAGCGTATTGCCCACTCTGATGGTAAGCGGCCACAATCAAAATATCACTAGCACCATTGCCTCCCTAGACCCTATCCCCTCCCTAGTGGAGCCCTAGAACCTTACTCACAGATAAAAATATAACAGCACTAAAAGGTAGCGTTATTTTACTGTGATCTTCTGTAAGGCACCTGTTCCGTTTATCCATAACAATACCAAGTATTTTGTGTATAAAAGGCACAATGAAAACGTGATGATAATAAACCTATATTTTTTTTTATTACACCATGTAACCCTTACCGTTTTAACCTTCTATCGTCTTCTTAAACAGATTTATACAATTTTATACAAAACCTTACTTATTTTATAAAAGGGACTAGACAGTATGCTGTTATATAAACCGACATTCATTGCTGTCAGCTCAGGGAATTGATTAAAAAGGTGGTATCTTTAAGCTACAACCTTCGTACATTCAGCCATCACATGCCACTCATCCTCGATCTGATCAAATAAAAATGTTATTCTAGTATTAGAGGTTAATTCAATATCTTGAGTTAATTTAGCAGTACTTTAGTACTTACCGTGGGGGTAGATAGGACCAAAGTTGCTAGCCGCTGAGAACCGATGTTCTTTTTTGCGTCTCTTTGAGGCTGTATGTCTTGTGCCTTGTACTCCCGAAACAAGGCCAAGGGTTGACACGTTTAAAAATTATATTTTTTGTAACATAGAAAATATTAAACTCCGTTCATTCAGTATTTTGGTTTATTCTTGCTTTTATTTTAATTCTTGCGATAGATTTCCAGTGTAAATTTTCTTTAGTTGTAAAAAGTTCGCTTTTGCTCAAATAATTACACATTTTTGCAAAAAAATATAATCAATCAAATTGGTAGTCTAATTCATAAAAAAACAGACAATATTGAAGTCACAAAATTAAATCACAACATACCTACAATATCTAAAGTATCTACAAGTATAAGTAAAGGATCTAAAAAACAAAAGTAATTCTTCTGAGTACTTTTTTTAAGTAAATGGACATCACGACACGATGCATGATGCATAAGCGTCTTTAAAACTGCATCTAGCAAGAATGCAAATGAAAACAAATACTCATTTGCCTGTCTATAATATTCTTACAATAACCACGTACTCACTACATTGCGTAGAAGTTAATACAATTCCGTGCACGGCTAGTTGGTTCGCGAGGCAGTGACGACGCCGCGACGATTCTCACTCGATACGAGTGCTAGTAACCCTGTCCCCCCACTTGAATGGGAGATGGGTGGAGGTAAGAGTAGGGGGTAGGTTACACCAAACTCCTTGGCTTTTTGCGCGATTGTACACCTACATTCTTTCTTTTTTGCTTGCGTTCATCTCCTTTTTTAAAAATCAAACGTAATACACGTTTGTCTATAGTCTAGAGTTTTTTTAATGTCGTGCAGTGGTTTCGAACTCAGTTCTTCTTCGCCTTAGGTAGGTAAGGTAACTTCGTCACCAATCCATCACAGAGGCAAAGGGTCAACGGTGTTTTTTTTTGTCTAATGTCTTCGTACTTCGCATACGTAGGATCTTAGAAAATAGGTTAAATCTCAAAAAGTTGAATTGAAATTTCTAGTGCCTGCATTGCACAAAAGCTAGAAATGTTGAGGCATACTTGCTAATATGTGCCAACAAGTCGGACCCACGTATCTCGGTGTTTAACTTCGAGTGCCGGCTACCGGCTGAGAGGCGTCTTGTACGCGTGACCCGAATGTGTACTGGCGCGTCGGTCGGCGCCCGCGGAAATAGAGAGACATTTCGTGCGAAAGGACGTCTATCTAATGCCGTGAGAAGTGTATAATAAAAAAGTGCATTCTCAACGCCCGCTGTCGTCAATGTTGAGGACGGTTCGTTTTTCAAAATAATTCCATTTTTCTTTTTCTAAGCATGGACATCGTTCCATTGTGCATGATCGATTTTCGAATTTGATTTGGTGGATTTTGGCATTATTCCCGGGATATCGATTTTTTTTAAATTTCATCAATCTTATTTGAATAGCTTCTAAATGTATTTATAGTTAGTTAATTATGAATGAACATAATAATGACTAAATAGCCTTCGGTGTAAGATCGTGGAAGTTTTCGCAATAACCGGTCATGGAATGGGTAATGAAACATTTAATATCCAGAGCTCTTCTGTGTTTTGTGAGATGCGTTAAACCAACTTAGCTGTACTGTTGACAAGTCTATATTATCAACGAATAAGCTAAAACGGTTGAAAATTCAATTATTATCAATTATTCATTTATAACATTGTTTATATCTTAAGAGTTATATTATTTTGAATCTATTTGCAGAAAGCCAGTTAAACACGTTCGAGTTAAAAATAAACTTACTTAAGATATAATTTTAAATAAATCTATTATGGACGTTTAATAGTAGGTAACGTTAACTCTCAAACGTCCAAAATATCAATTGAGAATTCGTTTCCCGCGCTCGTTTTCCCCGAAATCCTGAATTAGTTCTCTCACTTTTGTATCAAATAGAAAAACCTTATAGTACAATGAATAAACCTATAGTATTAAGACGAGTTTTGCTAAAATAGCTCTTAACGCTTTGTATTAGAAGTGCTGCAGACGTGTTACTCTCCGTTGTACCCAATTTACGAGAAGTTCACCGTCGTTTTCTTACCTCGGATCGAAACGAGTGTTACACGCTTATTTTCGGGGAACTCATCCAAACTTTGAAGTCCTCCGTCCGACGACTAAAAACTTTGCGAAATAGACGTTACCGTGTTTGTTTCCTTTAAAAATCATAATATCTTATCGGGAACGTGACTAAATGGGGACTTATTTCTTATTCCGATTCTAAGTATTCGTCATCTTTATGAACGGCAATCCACTTGATTAGTCCGGGAAACTCGTCAGAAATTGCTTTTGTTTTAATGTTTACGTTGTGATTAGGGTTGCCAGATGCTGGCTTATCATCACCCGGGACATTTGTGATTAATCCGGAATAATGACGACTCGTTTGGCCTAGTGGTAAGTGATTGTAACTTAAGCAGTCACGGAATTGATTCCATATTACGTGTATTTTTCTATCTGTCTTGCTTGTTTAGGTTTAAGCTTATTGATCTACATAATGTTAATGCATACTTTGTATCAAAGATTGTTATCTTAATTGTTATCTTATCTTCGATGCTTTAACTCAGTTTAGAATTAGGGAAAGGTGACTTTGTGAATCTATTTGTATCGTGTATAGAAACACGAAAGTTACACAAGAATGGAACAAATGTGGAAGCTTTTTAACATGAACGTTCTGTTTCACTCGCGCATCGACGCACCCGCCCAATGTTTCGGAAGTATACAAATATAAAGGCCCCTAAAAAAATGTGAAAAAAGAGAGAAAATGGACGACGCATTTCCGACAAAAAAAAAGTCAGCTACGTTTGTGATGGACGGACATCATATAACTTTTATTCTGCCGCGCTATTTGGCGCGAAACTACATTTTTTGTATTGGTCACACCAGTTTTTTTGGTCAATTTGTCATTCTTGTTTATTGTTATTAGGGTGGTATCATAGATAGAACTTGATGGGTGGTATTCGTAAAGATATTAATTCGTATTTAATCTAACAAAAAATTGGAGGTATATAAGAGCAAAGACGTTGTGAAATATTCTTCAATAGGTAGATTAGAATAGATTTACATA